GGGTTTAAAAGTTCAAACCTTTCATCCTTACATTTATGGCTTCTTTTATATCTAGCCTAGTACAGGTCACAGCTGATGCACGCTGTGATTAAACCATTTCCCTGAGTCTCCTTGTACTCGCAGAAGTCACATTTTTGGGTCATCTGCGTGTGTTTGGCCACACGCATGGGTGGAGGGGGCTGGGCAGGAGAGAACAGCTGATGTATGGGCAGGCGGTGAAATGGTAATTTAGAGCTTTTTTCCCGAGTTGATAGCATCTGACTTTTATCCCAGCATCTCTGGGAAGTGACACCGTGTGTCACGGAGATGGTGGCTGCGTGAGGAATGTGTAAGGAGCGCGCACCTCGGCTGGCTCCGGTGCCACGCAGAGCTCCTGCGCACGCAGCCCCGGACGGTGATTAGTCTCCTCCTGTCACACAGCGATGGCTCCAACGAGCTCAGGTGTTAACAGCCTGTCACCAAACCGAGCAGTGAGGCAGAAGAAAACTCCTCTCCCCGCCTCGGCGGCCTCTGCTCGTCCTTCTCCTGCTGGGGCCTGACGTTGCGTTGCCCCGAGGAGAGCCTGGCTGGGGACAGTCCCGGGGCAGGGACGGGCCACCTCATGTAGGCACAGGCCGATCTCCTGCCGAGATCGTGGCACGTTCCTGGGGGTGGTGGGAGCAGGAGTTTCCTTGCCAAAGAGCTGGGAGCACGCGGTTTAAACTTTTCCTTGATTCCTGTGATTTTCTTTTATGTCCTGTAATCTCAGAGTAAATGAGGGCTGGATGCAATTATTGCAGGTGCTTATTTTGTCGTGACAGGGTTTCGTGCGCCACCGTTCACTGCGATGCCCTTTTATTGCCGTGGTGCTGAGGCACTTCAGACATAAAACTTGGGCGCTGACAAACCTATAATTGTATTCCCTCACTGTTCTGCCTCCTCTGGAAGCAGAACTGGATCTAACTGGGCAGTGAGCAGTGGGGGAGCCTTTGAAGGCTGTGAAGTTGTCGGCTTCCCGGAGGCGAAGCGAGGTGCTCGGGTCCAGGCTCCCAAAATCCTGGGAGATGGAGGGACTCCAGGCTTGGCACCACTTGCTTTATGAAGCTGTAGGAGCAGATGTGAGACTGAGAGCTGGGATGATGCCTCTGGACACAAGTTCTTCCATCAGCCCGGAGGAGGCAGGAGGAGGGCGCTCCCAGCCCTGGCCGTGCTGGTGAACTCTGGGATCCCCCGGGAGAGGGGCTGGTGATTTGGGGACCGACTGGCTGCAGGGACAGAGATCTTTCAGTCCCCAGCCAGGGATGGTTGGTTGGGACGTGGTGCCTGGTGCCTGGCAAGGAGCAGCCCTCACTTGAGCTGGGGAGTGGGCTCTTTGGACCCTGGTGGGTTGATGCAACTGATTTTCCAGGGAAGAGCCTGTTCTGCCTGAGCTGATCCAGGGGCTTTGCAGCTAATCTGACTTCTATTGAGAACAGTCAATTGCAGGGTAAAAGCTTTGGGTTTAGGGTTGGGCGGGGGGTCGTTTTTGTTTCGTTTTGTTTTTTAACTTTGCCGTTTTGCTTTCCAGTTATATCCTGTGGAAACCCAGGCACCCCCAGCAACGCGAGGGTTATATTTAACGACGGCTTGATTTTCTCCAGCTCCATTATCTATCAGTGCCGGGAGGGCTATTACTCCACGGGAGTGCTGAGCAGGCACTGCACGGTCAACGGGACCTGGACCGGGACCAGTCCGGAGTGTACAGGTGAGCGCCGGGATGGATTCCTGGAAGAAGAGATGAACGATGGTGCCAGGCTCTGGGGACGGGTTGTCAGGGCATGTTGGTTGCTTGCTGTGGACGTGCACACACGTGTGTCACGCTGAGAAACTCGGCTAAACTGTCTGGTGGCAGCAGCAGCCGCTCAGCCTGCAGTCCCCGCGAGCATCTAATGGAAAACTCTTGCTTTGGGGTTGTTTTTTTTCCGGTTGGATGAAGGGAGCTCTGTAATGACTTTCACGAGTAGATGTCAGCCACCCTGGAGGGGTTCTCCAGGGCTGTGAGCGTTCCTGCCTGCTGCTGTGTGGGCAGAGCTCCTGCCCCAAAGCCCTGGATGAAGATGTTGGGTTTCCCCACGGCTCCCACCTGCGGTGCCCACGGCAGGAGCGGGGATGACAGTGGCCTTACATAAAGAGACAGTAACTGGGGTAAAGAGAGGAGGGGCTGCCATGGCCAGACTGTCTTTCGCCCAGCCCGCAACTGACCCAGGCTTTCTGTAATGTCTAATGCGTGTGAATACTTCCTCTTGCAAGGTCTTAATATGCCATTAAGATCTCTGCTCACTCCACTGAGGAGCAGCAGAGCTTTCTCCTGGTGCCATAGCCCAGCCTGCTCCACAGCTGGCACCGTGCTCCGCATCCTCTGTGCTATGAATGCCCCCCTCTCCACCATGAGAGGGTTACATCCCACGTTGGAAAATACTCAGGACCATCAGGTCTCTAGTTACTGCAGCTCCAGAAGTGTGAGACAAGGGGTGGTCAGCCAGAAATGCTTCTTTTTTTTTTTTTTCTTTGGCAGTGATCAACTGTGGTGACCCAGGTGTGCCAGCCAACGGCGTTAGGCTGGGCAGTGATTTTACCTACAATAAGACAGTGGTGTTCCAGTGCACACCTGGGTACATGATGGAGTCAGACAGGGCATCTGCTCTAACCTGCACGAAGGACCGAACCTGGAATGGCACCAAACCTGTCTGCAAGGGTAAGAGCGGTTGCTGTGAGAACTGGAGGATGGAAGTTTTACAGGCCCCAGACCTTTTGTGACTTGTGATGGGTGATGGGTGATGGGCAGCAACTATTGCCTCGTCCCTGGAGCCCACCTGGGACTTTCTCAGCCCCATCAGCCAATCTGTCCCCCCTAAGTTTATGGCACTTAGGCAATTTTATCAACACAGCGCGATCACCTTGCTGTCTTTAGGTCTATCAGTCGTCACAATATGCCTGGGAGGGAGGCAGCTGCTATTATCCTTGAAGTAGAGAAGGAAAAGTGAAGCACGGAGAAGGAAGTGACTTACTCTTCACAAAGAACTCAGATCAAACTCGAATGAAATAGTGTGTTTTGCAAGCACACCCTTTTTGGCATCATCTAGAATCTGAAAAATGTTTCTGCCAACTCCTTTCATTATTTCTCGGTTCTGAGATTGCCTCTGTAGTTCAGAGATAGGAAAGGGAAATAATAGAGCAGTTGCAGGACAGGCTGGATCTCTTCTGCAAGTGTTTTACTCGCCCACCAAGTGTAGATAAGGCTGGAGGCAGCATCTGTGTACCTCTTTAGCAACCTGGAAAATTCACCTGTCATGAATCTGATATAAATGCAGACCACACAGAGACTTCCAAATATACTCCAGTTCCTTTAGAGGCTGTAAACAGCAATTCTTACCCTCCTCTTTCATTCTCTCCACTGAGCTAATGTTGCAGGAATAATAAAGAAAGTGGCCTGAGTCTGATTTGGCGGCCGGGCTGATTTGCATGAGCTTAGCATCTTTCCCAGCGCTCCCCTGAGCTGAAAAGCAAAGCGCTGCAAAAATGTCATATTAAAATACTCTAGAGCAGATGAAATACAGACTAGTTGTTGATTCAACTGCTAATCTGAAACTCAGCCAGGTTGTCCAAAATGTATGAATCTTTCAGGGAATCTTAGATGAGTTTTCTAAGTCAGGCTGGATCCTTACCTTCGGCTGGAAATGAGCACCGACTCAGAAATCTGACTTGGAGATTTGGGATTTCGTTAACTCTGATCTTCAAAGTAAAATCCTGAGGTTTACAACTGCACACACAGCTGGAAAAGTTAGTACAGCCCCCTGCTAGGCCAGTCCCAGGAGGTGCTCTGTGAGAGGAGATTCTAACTTTGATCCTACATGAATTTGCTTGTTAATGGAAATAACTGCGCTGAGGAGTCGAGAGAACCGAGTGTGCTTTTGTTCTTCGTTCCAGCGATCGTCTGTAAATCCCCCCAGGCCATCCCCAACGGGAAGGTGGTGGGCTCGGACTTCAGCTGGGGCTCCAGTGTGAGCTACGCCTGCCTGGAGGGCTACCAGCTCTCCCTGCCCGCCGTGCTGACCTGCGAGGGCAACGGCACCTGGAGCGGCGAAATCCCCCAGTGCTTCCGTGAGTAGGCGGCCATCCACGAGTTCACATGGGAGTTGGGTGGAGGACTAGGATGGAAACCCAGTTTTTTGATGCTCTGTCTCCAACGTTTGTCTCCGTGTGGCTCATTTGTAGCATCAGCTCTGCCTTATCGTGAAGCTGGGGATGGAGCATTCTCAGCAGGTGGGAAGTTAAATATCTGGTCACTACATTTTCTACCTCAAGGGAAGTCTTGCATTCACTGGAGCTGGTGGGAGATTTTCAGGCCAGGAGAAAAGGCTGATGATGCTTAGAGTGCCTGAAGCCAAAAGTCTGAATGTTCTCCCTGCTTCCGACAGCAGCCAAATTGCAGGTGGTCTTGATTTGCCATCTCTAACGAGGAGGCAGCAGTGGCCGTGGGGATGCAGTCAGTCCCTCCACCTCGAAACGGAGATGTGAGGTCACGTTTGCAAATGTCTGAAGATCTTGCATACTCCGGCAGGAGGTTTTCCCTGGTGTGTGGGTGGTCAGAGGGCAGCAGAGCCCAAAAGAGGGACCGATGGCCATAAGGATTAGGTCAGAGGATGGGAAGATGTGGGGGATGCTGTATTCACACACCACCCGAGCGTGGTCAGACGTGGACCATCATCAACCCTCAGCTTTGCTGAAGAGTGGGGCTTGTGGCTCCTTCCAGAATTTTGCCTTTTCTTGGTGCTGCCTGAAGGAAAGGCCCCAAAATGAGCCCCTCTCGTGGGGTTCAGGGAGGGATTTGCTGTGCAGGGCTGCAGGAGCCTGAAGTGTAGGATAATTAACAGCACCTGCCCCTGGCCCTGCTCCAGCCAATAACACTTTGGCCAGTGGTGGTCCCTGGGGAGAAACTTGCTCGGTTTAAAGGTGGTTGGGTTTGAGATTCTTAGGGAGACATGAGTGAGTATGATTAGGGGACTTAGAGGGTCTTTAGGATTTATACCCTCTTCAAAAAACAGTTTTCTTTTGGGGCCTCATCTATTTTACATCTCCCACTGCAGCCAGGGGGAATTATTTACCCGCTTACTGCTCACTTGCATGATTAGCTCCTATTTATATTTAAATTATGGGTTTAAAAGTTCAAACCTTTCATCCTTACATTTATGGCTTCTTTTATATCTAGCCTAGTACAGGTCACAGCTGATGCACGCTGTGATTAAACCATTTCCCTGAGTCTCCTTGTACTCGCAGAAGTCACATTTTTGGGTCATCTGCGTGTGTTTGGCCACACGCATGGGTGGAGGGGGCTGGGCAGGAGAGAACAGCTGATGTATGGGCAGGCGGTGAAATGGTAATTTAGAGCTTTTTTCCCGAGTTGATAGCATCTGACTTTTATCCCAGCATCTCTGGGAAGTGACACCGTGTGTCACGGAGATGGTGGCTGCGTGAGGAATGTGTAAGGAGCACGCACCTCGGCTGGCTCCGGTGCCACGCAGAGCTCCTGCGCACGCAGCCCCGGACGGTGATTAGTCTCCTCCTGTCACACAGCGATGGCTCCAACGAGCTCAGGTGTTAACAGCCTGTCACCAAACCGAGCAGTGAGGCAGAAGAAAACTCCTCTCCCCGCCTCGGCGGCCTCTGCTCGTCCTTCTCCTGCTGGGGCCTGACGTTGCGTTGCCCCGAGGAGAGCCTGGCTGGGGACAGTCCCGGGGCAGGGACGGGCCACCTCATGTAGGCACAGGCCGATCTCCTGCCGAGATCGTGGCACGTTCCTGGGGGTGGTGGGAGCAGGAGTTTCCTTGCCAAAGACCTGGGAGCACGCGGTTTAAACTTTTCCTTGATTCCTGTGATTTTCTTTTATGTCCTGTAATCTCAGAGTAAATGAGGGCTGGATGCAATTATTGCAGGTGCTTATTTTGTCGTGACAGGGTTTCGTGCGCCACCGTTCACTGCGATGCCCTTTTATTGCCGTGGTGCTGAGGTACTTCAGACATAAAACTTGGGCGCTGACAAACCTATAATTGTATTCCCTCACTGTTCTGCCTCCTCTGGAAGCAGAACTGGATCTAACTGGGCAGTGAGCAGTGGGGGAGCTGCAGCTCCAGAGCTGCTTTCATTCCTTTGAAGGCTGTGAAGTTGTCAGCTTCCCAGAGGTGAAGCGAGGTGCTCGGGTCCAGGCTCCCAAAATCCTGGGAGATGGAGGGACTCCAGGCTTGGCACCACTTGCTTTATGAAGCTGTAGGAGCAGATGTGAGACTGAGAGCTGGGATGATGCCTCTGGACACAAGTTCTTCCATCAGCCCGGAGGAGGCAGGAGGAGGGCGCTCCCAGCCCTGGCCGTGCTGGTGAACTCTGGGATCCCCCGGGAGAGGGGCTGGTGATTTGGGGACCGACTGGCTGCAGGGACAGAGATCTTTCAGTCCCCAGCCAGGGATGGTTGGTTGGGACGTGGTGCCTGGTGCCTGGCAAGGAGCAGCCCTCACTTGAGCTGGGGAGTGGGCTCTTTGGACCCTGGTGGGTTGATGCAACTGATTTTCCAGGGAAGAGCCTGTTCTGCCTGAGCTGATCCAGGGGCTTTGCAGCTAATCTGACTTCTATTGAGAACAGTCAATTGCAGGGTAAAAGCTTTGGGTTTAGGGTTGGGCGGGGGGTCGTTTTTGTTTCGTTTTGTTTTTTAACTTTGCCGTTTTGCTTTCCAGTTATATCCTGTGGAAACCCAGGCACCCCCAGCAACGCGAGGGTTATATTTAACGACGGCTTGATTTTCTCCAGCTCCATTATCTATCAGTGCCGGGAGGGCTATTACTCCACGGGAGTGCTGAGCAGGCACTGCACGGTCAACGGGACCTGGACCGGGACCAGTCCGGAGTGTACAGGTGAGCGCCGGGATGGATTCCTGGAAGAAGAGATGAACGATGGTGCCAGGCTCTGGGGACGGGTTGTCAGGGCATGTTGGTTGCTTGCTGTGGACGTGCACACACGTGTGTCACGCTGAGAAACTCGGCTAAACTGTCTGGTGGCAGCAGCAGCCGCTCAGCCTGCAGTCCCCGCGAGCATCTAATGGAAAACTCTTGCTTTGGGGTTGTTTTTTTTCCGGTTGGATGAAGGGAGCTCTGTAATGACTTTCACGAGTAGATGTCAGCCACCCTGGAGGGGTTCTCCAGGGCTGTGAGCGTTCCTGCCTGCTGCTGTGTGGGCAGAGCTCCTGCCCCAAAGCCCTGGATGAAGATGTTGGGTTTCCCCACGGCTCCCACCTGCGGTGCCCACGGCAGGAGCAGGGATGACGGTGGCCTTACATAAAGAGACAGTAACTGGGGTAAAGAGAGGAGGGGCTGCCATGGCCAGACTGTCTTTCGCCCAGCCCGCAACTGACCCAGGCTTTCTGTAATGTCTAATGCGTGTGAATACTTCCTCTTGCAAGGTCTTAATATGCCATTAAGATCTCTGCTCACTCCACTGAGGAGCAGCAGAGCTTTCTCCTGGTGCCATAGCCCAGCCTGCTCCACAGCTGGCACCGTGCTCCGCATCCTCTGTGCTATGAATGCCCCCCTCTCCACCATGAGAGGGTTACATCCCACGTTGGAAAATACTCAGGACCATCAGGTCTCTAGTTACTGCAGCTCCAGAAGTGTGAGACAAGGGGTGGTCAGCCAGAAATGCTTCTTTTTTTTTTTTTTCTTTGGCAGTGATCAACTGTGGTGACCCAGGTGTGCCAGCCAACGGCGTTAGGCTGGGCAGTGATTTTACCTACAATAAGACAGTGGTGTTCCAGTGCACACCTGGGTACATGATGGAGTCAGACAGGGCATCTGCTCTAACCTGCACGAAGGACCGAACCTGGAATGGCACCAAACCTGTCTGCAAGGGTAAGAGCGGTTGCTGTGAGAACTGGAGGATGGAAGTTTTACAGGCCCCAGACCTTTTGTGACTTGTGATGGGTGATGGGTGATGGGCAGCAACTATTGCCTCGTCCCTGGAGCCCACCTGGGACTTTCTCAGCCCCATCAGCCAATCTGTCCCCGCTAAGTTTATGGCACTTAGGCAATTTTATCAACACAGCGCGATCACCTTGCTGTCTTTAGGTCTATCAGTCGTCACAATATGCCTGGGAGGGAGGCAGCTGCTATTATCCTTGAAGTAGAGAAGGAAAAGTGAAGCACGGAGAAGGAAGTGACTTACTCTTCACAAAGAACTCAGATCAAACTCGAATGAAATAGTGTGTTTTGCAAGCACACCCTTTTTGGCATCATCTAGAATCTGAAAAATGTTTCTGCCAACTCCTTTCATTATTTCTCGGTTCTGAGATTGCCTCTGTAGTTCAGAGATAGGAAAGGGAAATAATAGAGCAGTTGCAGGACAGGCTGGATCTCTTCTGCAAGTGTTTTACTCGCCCACCAAGTGTAGATAAGGCTGGAGGCAGCATCTGTGTACCTCTTTAGCAACCTGGAAAATTCACCTGTCATGAATCTGATATAAATGCAGACCACACAGAGACTTCCAAATATACTCCAGTTCCTTTAGAGGCTGTAAACAGCAATTCTTACCCTCCTCTTTCATTCTCTCCACTGAGCTAATGTTGCAGGAATAATAAAGAAAGTGGCCTGAGTCTGATTTGGCGGCCGGGCTGATTTGCATGAGCTTAGCATCTTTCCCAGCGCTCCCCTGAGCTGAAAAGCAAAGCGCTGCAAAAATGTCATATTAAAATACTCTAGAGCAGATGAAATACAGACTAGTTGTTGATTCAACTGCTAATCTGAAACTCAGCCAGGTTGTCCAAAATGTATGAATCTTTCAGGGAATCTTAGATGAGTTTTCTAAGTCAGGCTGGATCCTTACCTTCGGCTGGAAATGAGCACCGACTCAGAAATCTGACTTGGAGATTTGGGATTTCGTTAACTCTGATCTTCAAAGTAAAATCCTGAGGTTTACAACTGCACACACAGCTGGAAAAGTTAGTACAGCCCCCTGCTAGGCCAGTCCCAGGAGGTGCTCTGTGAGAGGAGATTCTAACTTTGATCCTACATGAATTTGCTTGTTAATGGAAATAACTGCGCTGAGGAGTCGAGAGAACCGAGTGTGCTTTTGTTCTTCGTTCCAGCGATCGTCTGTAAATCCCCCCAGGCCATCCCCAACGGGAAGGTGGTGGGCTCGGACTTCAGCTGGGGCTCCAGTGTGAGCTACGCCTGCCTGGAGGGCTACCAGCTCTCCCTGCCCGCCGTGCTGACCTGCGAGGGCAACGGCACCTGGAGCGGCGAAATCCCCCAGTGCTTCCGTGAGTAGGCGGCCATCCACGAGTTCACCTGGGAGTTGGGTTGGAGGACTAGGATGGAAACACGGTTTTTTGATGCTCTGTCTCCCACACGGTCTCCGTGTGGCTCATTTGTAGCATCAGCTCTGCCTTATCGTGAAGCTGGGGATGGAGCATTCTCAGCAGGTGGGAAGTTAAATATCTGGTCACTACATTTTCTACCTCAAGGGAAGTCTTGCATTCACTGGAGCTGGTGGGAGATTTTCAGGCCAGGAGAAAAGGCTGATGATGCTTAGAGTGCCTGAAGCCAAAAGTCTGAATGTTCTCCCTGCTTCCGACAGCAGCCAAATTGCAGGTGGTCTTGATTTGCCATCTCTAACGAGGAGGCAGCAGTGGCCGTGGGGATGCAGTCAGTCCCTCCACCTCGAAATGGAGATGTGAGGTTGCATTTGCAACAAGTCTGAAGATCTTGCGTGTTCCTCCACCCAGGCAGCACTAAAACTGGCTCTTTGTCCCCGTGTCTCCCCAGTGACTGAGCCTTCTGCCATCAGAGCTCCCGAAACTGCCAGAGACCGCAGGAAATAAACCTTTTGGCAAAGGGCACACTGTGTTGTCACAGCAAAAGTTGGGAATGTTTTGTGAAGGCAGAGCTTTGGCTGAGTGGAAACCTGTGTGCTTGATACAATAGCTAATGCAAAAAAATTAGTTAAATGTCTCATAATGATAAAGGCAGATTTGAGTTTCTTTTCTTGGCTGAATGGCTGGCAGCTGCACAATAGCCATTTTCATATTAAATCATACAAAGCCCTCGCTGTGTTCCTTGCACCTTTCCCTGGATCTTGTATAATTAGTGGGCTTTCTGTGTGACATGGAACCATATAGCAATTTGACATCGTGCAATTAGAGATACATTTTAAAGCTAAGCATGCTGTTAGGGGAAAAAACGGAGAAAAGAAAAGATGGGAGAGAAGGTGGAAGTTAATTAATGGCAATCGACAAAAAGAGGGAATTACAAGGAAAAGTAGCCAGCAACGCCTTCCACCACTGCTAATTCCCTCGTCAATCACAGAGCCTGGTGGCAGGGAGTGGTGAGGTTTGGGCCGTTAATAGACCCATCTTTAGCTGATTAACATTGTTTGCTCTGGAGGAGGCTCTTCCCAACCCGGGTGTCTCTCTGCCCCCTCCAGCCGTGTTCTGCGGAGACCCGGGGATCCCCGCACAGGGCAGGAGGGAGGACAGAGGCTTCACCTACCGCTCCTCCGTCTCCTTCTCCTGCCTGGCCCCCCTCGTGCTGGTGGGATCAGCCCGGAGGTTCTGCCAGTCAGACGGGACGTGGAGCGGGACCCAGCCCAGCTGCATAGGTGAGGGGGGGTCCAGGGGGCACCGGTGCTGGTGGTGGCTGGTGGCAGTGGAGGGCACAGCCCCGGTGGGGTGGGTGCTTCACTCATGGCCTGTAGAACAGGGGAAGGGAGGAGAGTTGTCCCTGCCACGGGATCTATGTTCTTACCTTCTTACATTCCCTCCCTCTGGTTAGTTCATGTTGCAGCAGTCAGGGATTTAAGAAACAAAAAAGATCCGTGTATTTTCCCTCGTTGCCGTGTCTTCCTTCTGTAGAGAAACGCTCTGTCTCCCTGCGAAGGCGCAGCAGGGTCTGTGTGGGGCAGGGGAAGGCAGAGCCTCTGTCCCTCCCCAGCAGCTCCTCTGAAGCCCTGTCTCTGCTCTTCTCCCCCAGACCCCAGCCTCACCACCTGCGCGGACCCCGGCGTCCCTCTCTTTGGCATGCAGAACAACTCCCAGGGCTACCAGGTAGGGCCACGGGACTGGGGTCCCCTCGCCTGCCCCCCGAGACCACTGGGGTCAGTCCCTGTCTGAATCCCTATGGATTACAGTGTCCCCCCGGGAGCAGGACATCCCGGCGTGCTCCCTCAGACCTCGGAGCGCATTTGTGTGGGATTAACCAGCAGTGCCTTATTTATGATATTAATTGCAGTGCTAATTAATAGTTATTAGTGTAATTAGTATTCACACCGGGGACGTAATTTCCATTCATTTTCACACCAAATTCTGTGGGTGGTTTTCTTAATCCCAGCTCCCGTAGGGTATGAAATTGGTGGAGAAAGGACCCCGGAGCAATTCCCCGGGGTGCCCCATCCACAGCCCCCCCTGCCCCTTCCACGCGGCTGCTCCTGTTACAGAGGGGATGGGTCAGTTTTGCTGCTAATTAGTTATCTTAATCCTGGGGGTTTAATGAAATAATTGGAGTTTTTAATTAATACTGAGACCCCACAAGCCTGACTTTGTTAAGCACAGCACGGGGCGGCGCAGGCAGAAAGCAGGCGACTGCCCTCTCTGGGGCGTAGGAGATGGGGAATTATGGAAGTGCTTTTGTGTTACAAGCACTGGGTGAATCAACTTGTTTTGTTTCTGGTGGAAACAGGTGGGAAGCATCATCTTTTTCAAGTGCCAGAAGGGGTACCTGCTGCAGGGCTCCACCACCAGGACCTGCCTCCCCAACCTGACGTGGAGCGGCGTGCAGCCGGACTGCGTCCGTAAGTCCTGGGGGAGGCCTTGCCACGGGAAATGGGGACATTTGACCCTGCTGTCACCTTGCTTTGGTGCTGGGCTTCACTGTGCAAACTGCTGGCTCTGAAGAGCTGGTAATTTGGGGGGGGGAGCTCTGAGAAAAACATATTTTTGAAGAAAAGGGAGATCACACAATCACTTCTCTCCTGACATGACTACACCAGCAGCTGTTTCTGATTTCAGATGAGATTTTTTTTCACTTGTCCCTTCCTCAGAGACATAGTTTCAGGTGAGACTTTGTTTTGTGCTTCTGAAACCGTTTTTGATGGCCGAGACGTGAGCTCTCTCTCCAGGGACCAGGGTTAACATTTAGCCAGAAGGGCTCTCTGACAGAGCAGTGTTTCTCCTCATCTTTAATAACTTGTTGCTCTTTCTTTTAAGCTGTCCATCAGCTTTTCCCTGCTGCACCAGGAGTTTAATTTAATGTATTTAAGTGGTGATATCCATCATGGCCTCTGCATCCTAAGTATTAAAAAGCTTTTTCCTCTCCCTTGTGAGGTGGTGGTTTATTGACGAGATATTTTTCCACTAACAAACCTGACCCAAGAGTTTAAAAACTCTTCCAAGTAGCATCAGGGAGAGGGCAGCAGATGCTCTGGAAGGAGCTGCCTTTCCCCACCGCTCCCCTGGGTGCTGGGAGCGTGTCCCCACGTCCACGGGCTCCTCTCTGCTGAATCAAAAGCTGCAGGGATGTGGCTTCAGGTGGGATTTTGCTCCTGGTATGAGGTGTATGGAGGTAGAAGATGGTTTTGGCTTAACAGGGCCAGCCAGGACTGCTGAGCTGGTGCTTTGAGGTTTTGTGTGAAGCCTTCTCCATCCTCCACCCCAAGCTGGATGCAGTTGCTGCTGGTGAGCACTGAAGTGCTACCTCTGAGCCTGGCCATGGGCTCGGGGCTCCCAGACCATGTGAGTTCGGGTTAGTCTTCCAGCTTTCTGGGTCTTATATTTTATCTTCTGTAAAGCAAGGATGAAGATAATACCTCATGAAGGCTGCCGAGGATTTGTTTTCATTCAGGAGCAGTTTGAGAGCTGTGGGAAGGGCAAATTTACAGTGTGGGTGAGAGGGAGCTCCCCAGCTCTCTGATTTACTCATTTTGTGTCGTAACTTCTCAAGGAAAGTGGTGACACGTTTACAGCGGGGCCTGATAGAGCCGTGTGGGCACAGGCTCGCGCTGGTGGCAGCTGGACAAGCTCAGCTTCCAGCTCTGTGGCCAAATCCTGAAAGTTATTGAGCAATTATAGGAATTTATGACTGTTGCACGCTTCTGAGGACTTACTGTCCGAGCCTGTGGATGGGTAGGTGCAAGTATTAGTAGGATACTGGTCCCATGAAGAGAGATTACACAAAACCAGATCGGGAATGCACTCACTGGAATCACTGGCTTAATTTACCGGGTCTTGATGCCCTGTAAAGGCAGTTTTTGGTCTGCAGATGGACCTGGAACACAGTGCTGGGGCCAGAGTTGAAGGAGAAAGGTGTCTTTAGCATCATTTGGGTTTGGCGCTTTTTTTTCCCCTTAAAACGTGGGGAATAGCAGAGCCTGAGTTTCAATTCATGGAAGCTGGAGAGGAGTGAAGGGAGCTTTAGCCAGAGAGAGCAGCCAGCCAAGCACGGGAAGAACAGTCTCATTAGTTCATCCTGCTGGGAAAAATTCAGGCATTTTTCCTTCTGTCAGCAGAGAAAGCTTTTCTGAAGAAAGCTCTTCTGTGAGATTTCTGTCCCTGCTGACATCACGGTGTCCCTCTTCTGCCTTTCTGTGTACGAATGGATGTCTCTCATCTCCGTTTTCCTTTGCTTTCCAGCTCACCACTGCAAGCAGCCCGAGACCCCCTCCCATGCCAACGTCGGTGCTCTGGATCTGCCCTCTCTGGGCTACACCTTGATCTACTCCTGCCAGAGCGGGTTCTATCTCACCGGGGGATCCGAGCATCGCACCTGCAAAGCAGATGGCAGCTGGACAGGAAAACCCCCCATTTGCCTGGGTAAAAGCCCTGAGCAGCACCGCCCCGTTCTGTGTTTGCCTTAAAAGGGAGCGTTGCAGCCCAAGAGAAAACACCTATTTTCTTAGAGTTTCACATGTGTGTGTGCATGTTGGAGCTGTAGAGACCTCAGCTCTCACAGGGTCCTGCACAGATCCCCAGGGAGAAGCGAGGAGGGGATTTTCTGCCTGATGGGTCGGGGTCTAGAAGCATCTGCACAAGACAAAGGTTGCTCTTGACTTCACCCACCTTTTACCCACCTCAAAGTCTTAGCTCAGGAGCACACAGTGGTTTGATCTTGAAATAGAGCTGTGTGGCTGCCGTGGGAGCTCTCTCTGGACACCAGTTTGGGGCAGATGGTGGGGGAGGATGGTAAATGAAAGCTTTGGGTTGGGCAGGGTCCCGTGCAAAGCCCTTGTGCACAGGGACGTGCAGCCGCGTTACATGTGCGAGCGGTGCCAGCCGGAGGCCTGCTCCTTTATGGCCACCAGCAGAGAAGAAGTGTCTCAGCAGTGTCACACACCACAATATTCACTGGTTTTGCCCCTCTCTTCCAGCTGATGTCCGCCCCAGCGGAAGGCCGGTTGGCACCGCGCGAGACCCACCGCTCGCCAAGGTCTCAGGTACGTGGGACACATTAGTAGGGACCTGGACCTTTCCTGGTCCATCCTGTCCCCAGGACACCCAGAGACCCAGCAGTTCATGCAGATCTCAGAAGTGCTGGGCTGCTGAGAGCAGCCCGTGTGCTCCATCCTCTCCACACTTCACTGGAGAACAGACAGGAGCCCCAAGGGAGTTGAGCACCAACATCCACTGCCCTTCCCAGGGCTCTCCAGAGATTTGAGCCCTTGAGGATGTTTTACATTAGAGCGCTGGGCTGCTGAGAGCAGCCCGTGTGCTCCGTCCTCTCCACACTTTGCTGGAGAACGGACAGGAGCCCCAAGGGAGTTGGGCACCAACATCCGCTGCCCTTCCAGGGCTCTCCAGAGATTCGAGCCCTTGAGGATGGTGGGTTTTTTTCAGAAAAATGGGGTGGTTTTTAAATTTTTTTTTTTTTTTTTTTTTCAGAAAAATGGGGTGTTTTTTAATTTTTCCTAAGAAAAATTGGGTTGGTTTTTAAAATTTCAGTGGCATTTTTTGTCAAAACAATAAAATTAAAGTCATCAGCTTGTTTGTTCTCCTCTCTCTGGCTTTGTACTCAGTGATGATAACACAGAAAGTGGGTGGGATTTTGAGATATTTAAATACGTATTTGTGAATTCAAAGAAAGAAAGAAATTTCCTTATTTGTGAATTCAAAGAAAGAAAGAAATTTGCTCTATTTTGATTTCTGAAAAAAAAGGAAATAAATGGCAACGCGCTTTGTTTTTCCGCATTCCCCATCACTGTGGTTTCTAGTGCCTGCTGATGTGTTTGCGAGGAATTCCCTTTGGAAAGGCTCCTACGAATACATGGGGAAGAAGCAGCCTGCCATGCTGTCTGTCACCAGCTTTGACCCCACCACCAGTAAAGTCAACGCCACGTTGATAGACCACAGCGGCGTGGAGCTCCAGGTGTCGGGTAAGGGAGCGCCCTGGCCGTTGGGGGGGATTTACACTCCTCAGAAGTGGCCTCACAGAGCGAGGGGCCACATGTTCTGTGATGAGGATGCTCTGATTGAGCTCTGCAGAACCACCCAGGTTTATGTCTCCAATCTTTGATTGGACCAAGACAAACAAAACCATAGACCCGAGTTTGCTTTGACTCTGCCTGAAAAGGCTTCCCGGTCCATCGTCCATCCCTTTGTGCTGGAGCTGGGGACTCGTAGCCCAAGACAAACCAAATTAAATGATGTGAGTGTTCCTGCTCTTCACGGAGCCCTGGGTTGTTACTGACCCAGCAACACAACTTGCACATTCACGGTGGAGTCTCTTCCCACGTGCAAAATGTCTTCAATGTCCTGGGGAGTGGACGTGGGATCATGTTTGTGGTGCGTTTCCCAGTATGAGTTGTCTCCTGTAAGATGATGAGATGATTTCTCTACTCTCTCAAGTAGAAAGTTAATTACTTCAAATTCAAATAGAGTCATTGTGATGTAGTGATTAAAAGTTATTTGTTTTCAGGTGTTTACAAGAAAGAAGACGTGCACCTGCTTCTCCAGGTTTACCAGATCACGGGGCCCGTGGAGATCTTTGCCAACAAGTTCAAAAACGATAAATGGGCTCTAGATGGACATGTAAGTGCTCGGGGACCTCATACACACTGTCCACCCACACAGCTCCTCCCGTGGCTGTCACAGCCCCAGCTTTTCCCTCGCTGAAGCTGAGGGGATGACTCCTTTAGCTGGTGGCAGGACAGGGCTGCTGTCCCCTGGTGACCTTCTCGCCTGAAGGGGACACAGGGTGTTCTTCAAGCGTGTGAGATAACGTTACATGACAGTCAGCTCTGCCTTGCTCCCTTGCAGCTGTGTGGGGTTTTTTTATTGCCCTGTGGTTTTAAATCTGTGAGGCTTCCACATAACACTGAAGGAGAAACCAACATGATTAATTCCATTTTAACGGTTTATATCTGTTAAACATCAAGCAAGAAGAGCTAATCTTCCCTTAGGAGTCAACTTCTCACCCCAATTTCCGTGTCTGGTAATTTCCCATGCCCTTAAGAGATCCACTGGAGCTTAGAAGAAACACGCATCTGATTGACCCGTGACCAGTTGTAGCCCAGAGCCTTCGCTATCCCTGTTGAATTAGCAACGTGTTCTGTAGTTTATTGCAAACAAGATATATTTTTTTTTTATCTTCCATTGAGACATGAGAGTCTTAACAAGTTGTTGGGCAGCCAGACTGCTTAAAAAAATCCCACGGCTTTCTGGGGATTTGAATGAGATTAATGGTACGTGTGAAGCTGCAAGAGGCTGTGACAAGGTGGGTGCTGAAGTCCCGACGGGGGGTTGAAGAGATGTGTTGGTCTCTGCTCTCCTGTCACTGCAGGTCTCGTCGGAGTCCTCCAGCGGCACGTTTGTGTACCAGGGCTTTGTGCGTGGCAAAGGCTTCGGGCAGTTTGGCCTCCAGAGACTTGGTAAAGTCCCTCTGATTTGTACTTTTTTCCCTCGATTGCTAAAAAGCTAGATTTTGGTGGTAGTGGGGTTTTTCAAACAGGGAACGTTTCTCCTGTCCCTGCCTTTTATTTTCAACCCTGCTGGACCAGATCTTTCTAGATGCTTTTGAACCATCAGGTTTAACCTAACCCTTTCCAGCTCCACTTAGAAGAGAGCTCACAAACTCCACACCAGCCACTGGGGTAGAGAAGTTGGGTGCCCTCAGGTCTCTGTACCCCAGGGGGGTGGGAGATGGTGGCATCTGAAACAGCTTCTGTTCCTTCACATCTGAGGCAGAGAGCACAGGGAAGAGGGGGGTCCCCATGGCCTGGCAGCACTTCCACCCTGCACCTTGCTCCTTCCTCACCTCCCGTTCCTCCCTGCACAAGGGCTGGAGCAGCTCTGCCCCTGTGTTTAAATACTAAATAGATTGAACATTGGATGTTCTGCCAAGGGCTAAACCCTTCAGTGTAAGATTTATGGGAGACGAACAACGCTAGGACAAAATTTTTAATTTGAGAGCAAAGTGAGGCATTTAAATAAACAGGTTTCTGCTCAAAGACAGAGTTTGGAGCTACAAATAGCACCTAAATGCATTTTTTCGCCGTGTTGCCAGATGTCTGACCTAAAAGCCCAAGTCCCATTGCTACCACAAAACGTGTCTCCATCTCGGTTTCAGAAATCACAGAGGCACTTGAGAGCTTACACAACCCAAGCTCTAAGCTCCCAAATACCTCTTAAAATGTGGCTAGAGCTCTTCAGTCTCTTAGGATTTTTGGAATCTGACCCTGGAGTCTTGTCACCTTTATGGAGAATTAGATGCTCATTATCACAGCCTTTGAAAGTCTCCCTTAAAGCTTAACTTTAAACATCCAAGTTTGAGCATTTTGGTAAGATAAATCTATTTACATCTCTCTTTAATTGCAGTTCTAAATAAATGATGATGTCTAAGCTAGGATAGCTCTCCAAACCATTCTTCGTGCAGCTCAGAAGCTTTTGATGACCTTTTAGAGCCACACTCCTGACCAGCTTATTCGGTTGTTGATGATGTAACCTGTAACTCAAGCAAACCCCGTTTCCCGTGGCGGTGTTCTGAAATGTGTTTCCTTCTGCTGTGTTTCAGACATCAGCATGCTGGAAAACGATCCGGAATCAATAGGACACCATTTTGCATCCAACAGCAGTTCTGTGGCAGCTGCCATTCTTGTGCCTTTCATAGCCCTGATTATTGCAGGGTTTGTGCTTTATCTCTACAAACACAGGTGGGTTTCGGGGAGGATGCCAGCAGGGGAAACAAAACCAGGGCAACGATGGAAATATCTGTGAGCTTGACTTAAAAGCGCTGCCCCTACACCTGGTTTCTCATTTAATTCAGGAGGTGAAAAAATAATGAAGCCAGCATGTGTGGAGGGGCAAGGGTGTTAGGAGGGGGAGCGTGGAGGGCCTTTATGACCATTAATAAGATTTGTGGCAACATTAGGTCGGATAAGGCAAAGTAAATTTCATACTTGGGCATTCAAGCCGGCTTTGTATGTGGTGTAGATTAGTTATTTCTCCTGATCAGTGGAAATGTGCTGCAAAGCCCCATGCAGGCTGGTCACTGCAGAGGGAGCACCCTTCAGGCCAGAGCAGAGCACAGGGAGCTTCTGTGCTACACACCCACAAAGATTTTCCTATAGATCCCTTCTGCCGTGTCCCCAGGTGTCTGCCCTCTCCAAAAGCAGATTTTTTCCTTTCCACTGACGTGTTGTCAGGGCTGTTCTGGCTCCTCACCATCAGTAGCCGTGACCTCTCTGGATTTTCTCTCTGACGTCCCGCAGGAGAAGACCAAAAGTCCCATTTAATGGCTACGCGGGCCATGAAAACACCAACGTCCGAGCAACGTTTGAAAATCCAATGTATGACCGGAACCTGCAGCCCACGGACATCATGGCCAACGAGACAGAGTTCACAGTCAGCACGGTCTGCACGGCTGTATAGCACCGTCCCTCCGCGGTGAGTGGCAGAAACCCAGCCTGGGAGTGGGGCAGAGTGGGACAAAATGGGACAGAGTGGGACAGAGTGGGACAGTGCCACCGTTCTCCCCGTGTTTGGTGCTTGTGGACAATGCTAGGTGGAAGCAGTGGTTCAGAGGAGCCCCCGGAGTGGCTCAGATTGCCCAGGAGATCTCTGCAGGAGCCAAAGCAGCATCCCCATCGCTGGGTCTCTGGTTGGGGCAGCACCTCTTGGGGACCCAGTGGCAAAGCAAATCCAGATAGCCCCGTGGTGAGAGCAGTCACCAGGTGGAGGAACAAATGAGTCTCTTAAGAGAGATCGTTCATTCGCTGCGTGACTCCAGGGTATTTTACAGAGTGGTCAGAGGAGGGTAAAACAGGGGGTTTAAAAGTTTTACTGCACAGGCACCTAGGAGTAACTTAATGGTGTAAAGAGAAGTACCCTGTGATTCAAACGAGCTCTTCTAGACTGAAATGTCCTCAGTTTGAGATAATGAAGCCATTGCAGGCTTTCTCAGCATTTCTGTGTATAATAACAAACTGTTACCTTCTCTCTGTCCCTTCCTTTCCCATTGTCCCAGATTCCTCCGGGGTCGGTGTCTAGTGGATGATTGTGTTTCACCTCACTAGTCTCCATCCATTCCCTCCCCATCTCCCTCCTCCCAACCTCGTTGAGGCTGTGGAGAAGCTGCTACACCTCGTTGGACTTTGTGTTAACTCCTGAGAGACTGCTGGGTCGTCCTCCCTCGCCTTCACCCGCCCTCTCCATCCTGCCGTGGATAACGAAGCCAGCCAAAGGTCTGCTCTGGCACAGCTCCTCTCTCCCACCTTCCTCTGGTGGGTCTCAGCCCAACGTCAAGACCTGGGGTCGTGGAGGACCTGGGAGGCGAGGTGATGGGAAGGGTTTTACAGCCCACTCTTGGTTCCATGTTGCTGGAGGGAGCAGTGGGGTACGTGGGGTCCCACCAGCTGCCCCCCACTTTGGGAAGAGCTTGGACAACAAAGAGGCAAAAGCAGGTTGTGCTGCAGAAGGTGCTGGTTGGGGTTAATGGAAAATACTGGTATGGGACAGGACGAGTACTTGCTTTGTCTTTATTTGGTTTTGTGGGTTCTTTCTTTGTTTGTTTTTTTTCTAACCCAATGGAACTTTTTCAATGAGAAAAGCAAAACTTTGCAAGCTTTTCTCCTCTTCCCCGTATTTAATTTTCCTTTGGGCCATCCTTGCTGCCCCATGTTCCTTCCAGGCAGCTCTTGGGGCTGGTAAGGAAACGTCCCCCCATCCCTGGCCCCCTCCCAGCAGCTGATTTTAGCTGCGTCCAAACACCCTGATCAGAAAATTGCTGACAGACACGAAAGGACAAAAACCTCTTTAAAAAGAACTAACAAATACTGATTTTCCCCCAATAGCATTCAAAAGCCTTTGCCCTTTCCATATTGATCCTCCAAATGGCAATGCAATAAGAGTTTTAATTTCTATCCAAAGCTCTTCCCTTTATTTCCCAGGGGCAGAAAGGTTGCCCTGGCTTTCCTGAGGAGCGGATAAGGCGGCTTGACATTTTTCCTGCCTTATAAGAGAGCGATGCTTTTGTGATGACACCGTCCTCCTCTCATAAAGAGGAGAGCTGCTCTTGTTGGTTCGGGGCTTTAGTCTGTTTGGTTTGAGTCGCCGTTTCTGAGGCCGGGCTGGAGCCCAGGAACGAGCAGCCCCTTTGTACCCGCTGGAGTCGGGGGCAAGGCAGGTGGGGGGAGCAGGACGTGTCAATGGAGCAGCTTCTTCTTACAGAAGATGAAGGGAAACCAAAACTAAAACGAAGGGGGTGGTGTTTACATCCACGCTTGCATTAAAACGCTGCCTTTCCCCTGCCTGATGTCAGCTGAGGTTTTGTCTGATGAAAACCACAGGGTAGGTTGTTTGGGGTTTTTTTCTGGTTTGTTTATTCTTTTAGTCCGTGTGTGTGCGCGCGCGTGCGTGTGTGTATATACAAATATATATTATTTTTTTTTACTTCTGTCTCTTGTTCAGCGCTCTTAGAGTCAGCAGCGTTCTCCAGCCTAACTGCTGAACAGCCAGCCTGCCAAAAAATGCCACCTCTGCCCCCCCCAGCAGGCAAAGGGGCTCTCATTTATTGTCGAGAGGTGGGTGCAAGGTTTCTTCAGGGCCAGTGCTGGACCATTGCAGACCATGTCCCGCAGCCAGGCGCTCCCAGCTCAAGTCAAATAGCTTCAGGGCCAGTGCTGGACCATTGCAGACCGTGTCCCGCAGCCAGGTGTGCTCCAGCTCGAGCCAAATACGCAGGTTGGAGATGGTTTAATCTTCCAGCTGGTTGTGGGACCACATTCCCGGGGGGCACCTCCAGCTTCTGGGACACGGCCCCCAGAGCAAGCTGAGGAGAAGGAGAAGAGGGGACCCCGGTGGCACTGGGGTCTGGGACCCAGGCTGGTCTCTGGTTTGGTTCCTCAGTGGTTTGAGGAGATCAGGATGTTCCCCTGGTCCTTTGCGTGCTCTGCAAGCCCGTAGCTGGTTCCTGACTCCTGGGCTGCTCTCCCAGGAGACCCCAAAGACTCTCCCAACCTAAATTATTCTGTGATTCCTGCCCACGGCCCATTTTCCTGCCCTTTCTCCCACCCCGTAGCACCACCGAGGGACCAGGCTCCTTGTGAGCACGTCCCCGAGGCAGCGCCGTTTGGGTTTGACACCTCCTGGCTCCTCTTCCAGTACCCAAAACTCAAACACCTCGCCGTGTCCCCACAACAGCAGAGCTCCAACCTTTCCAGGCTCAAGAAAAGCCTTCTCCAAGGTGTGAGGGGATGAGGCTGCTCCCAGTGGGACGCAGGGATGGACACACACACACACACACACACCCCCACGGTGGCTCTCGGACCACTCTGAATCCCACCCAGCCCTGGGACAGCCAGGAAAAGCCCGTGTCAAGGTGCGTAAAACCAACCCGAGATGTTGTACCACCAGGGCAGGGGGAAAGGGAGGTTCTGCTTAAGCAAGACTTGCTGCTTTCAACCCATTCAGTACCATCTTCTGCTGCTGCCCGAGCAGCAGAGGGAGTGCAGGGGGGTGTTGTTCCATTTTTTTGCAAGCTGGCTGGGACCCGGTAACTCAGCATTCTCCATTCTTGTGCCCAGAGGACTTGCATTATCTTTAAAAAAAAAAAAAAAAAAAAAAGGAAAAAAAAAAAAGGAAAAAAAACTATTTAAAAAAAAAAAAAAAGAGAAAAAAAAAGAAAAAATGAAAAAAAAATCCCTCTTTTGTACAGAGATATATTTTTATGACTCAAAAGTTTGTACAGTTAAAAAACACAATGTAAATGTTTTTTCATTATTGTAGTAAACAGTAGTGGAAGATCAGCTTTTTTTTGTAAATGTAATAAAATGTATAAATATGGTTTACATAAAAGTGTAAATATGTAATCTATACATACACTTGGCTTGTCTGCAGTATATACAATTTAATTTATCTGTCTCTGTATATGAGGCTTTCCATTGTGTCCAGGCATACTTTACGGAATTTGAAAGCTATTTTAAATTTTTGAATTAAAATAAAATATAAATTTTTGCATTGCTTTTCTTACATTTTTCTGGTGCCTTTTTCATGACCTGCCCGAGGTTTCTCCTAGGACCCTCTGGAGGGGGCTTGAGGACGGCAGGGACCAGCCCCTCTCCCCGGGCTGGAGGCTGGAGCCCCGGATGCTCGGAAGCAGGTCCTGGCTCCTATGGAGGGACAACGCAGAGGACACAGGCAAGCCCCAACCCCTCTCCCCATCCCCAGGCTGTCCCCTCCGCCCTGGGGACCCCACGGATGTGGTGCCCAGGCAGGACAGATCCATCTGTGCTTCGTGGCTGGCTTCGGGCTCATCCTCAGGGAGCCAAACCCAGGCAGCATCTGTCCGCCGTCCCCCTCGGTGCCCCCCTCTCTCCTCACTTGCTCCCTGCTGATGGGATGTGACGTTATTCCAGCTGTGGTCCAGCTGTGGTCCAGCCCCTCCAGCAAGGAATCGGTGCTTGCTCTGCCGGGGAGCTCACGGACCCTCTGGCACGGCAGGTCAGGAAAAAAACCCCTTTGAAAACAGATATTTAAACAAGATCCTCAAAGGAAACAAGCAAAACCTGTGAAATTGTGATTTATTTCTCAAGGTTGTTGCTAAAAAATAGAGCACAACCTGCCCCAGTGGGACCAAGTGCTGGTAACATCTCTCCTGATCCGGGTCTGGGGCTGAATTCGTGTTGCTTTTTAAGCTGGAAATTCACCTGGCAGAGAATTTTCTGGTTGGAAAGGGACATTGAGTACGTTGTTACGTGTCTCCTGTCACGTTTTCTTGAGAGTATCTGAGATTGCTGGGTTTTTCAGTGATAAACAGGTGCGTTTTCATTTCTGCTCTCCCCAGTGGAGTCTGTTGGGGTGGGTTTGCTCTGACCTGGGGTCAGCCTTACCCTGGGGGTTCCCACACCAGTGCTTTTCCCCCAGCCCTGGGCAGGGCCAGTAGCTCCCTCCTCACTCAAGCCCAACTCCATGAGGTCCAGGAAATAATTACACATCTCTGCCCCCTCCCAGAGCACTGAGCCGGTTCCCCTCTCTGTGCAGAATTCATCATTTTGCTTTTCCAGCAGGTTTTATCAGGCCGGGTCAGCTCTGGTGAGGGGGGCAGGAGATGCCCCTGGCGTGGAGCTCGGTGGGATAACGGGGTCCCCCATCTTCTCATGCTCCCTCCCAGCCCTGCACCCGTGTGTTTCTGCTCCAGGATGCCTTAATTTGCTTTAATTAGGTTGCTTTCTCTGCTGAATGCCTCCCCTCTCCCCCTTGCCGATGACTGTCTGCAATGAGCTTGTGTCTCGGCACTGATTGATAAAATTTGTTTTTTAAAAAAAGGGTGTTACACGATCTTTATGTCCTGATGCTGCTGCCAGCAGCGCTGGTGTGAGTTTGATGTGCTCTCTGTGGCTCTCACGTTGCCTTTTATTTGTCTCTTCCACATCACAGGCGCTTTATCTTTTTGGTTTCGTTTCCTTCTTCTCTGGCCTCGGCTGCTTTACTTGAAGTAAGGTTGGCAGGAAGGTGGGACGGAGGGGGGGTGTCTTTGGGGAGGGTTCAGCAGATTGTGCCACGTGTCGGGCTGTGCTGGAGTGTGGGACAGCCAGTTCGGGGCACCATGAGCCTGAGATGTGTTTTACTTTGAATTTTGTGGCACCAATAGTGTTCTTACTGGATTTAAGAGGCCACTAAGGGAGGAGAGATGGTCACCACCTCTTGGAGCTCCACAAAGCTTTCCCAGTAGGTTGTTGTTGGTCCTTTCTGCTTCTAGTTCACAAGGTACCCTTGTTGTTTGGGTCCTTTGGGGACAGGCCAGATGGCCCTGGCTGCAGGTTCGGCTCAGTGGATAATCCTTCAGTTTCCAGGCATTGTATTGCCACTGGGGTTTGGCACTGGAGTCTTCTGCAAAGGGGTTTAGTGTCCTTCTTAAGGTATGTCCTCTTGGGTTCTTGCTGGCAGTCACTGCCTTGGTGCCCAGCAGTGTCACCCCATGGGCCTCTCCACCACTCGTCCTACATCAGCCGGTTGGGAAGGAAAGGACAGAAAATGAAGGTGAGTGGAAAAGCAAAAGTCCCAGTGGGAGGGGGCTGTGAAGCCTCCCACCCCTCAGGGCTCCCAAACCCTCTGCTGCCGGTCCCCTGAGAAATAAACAACATTTAAACCACGCAGCACATCTCACCCCCTCCAGCAGGTACTAATTTAGCCAGCACAATAAGCATTTACGGAGCTAATTAACAGCAATTTATATCAACGTTTTGTAAATGAGTGATTAACTCTTCAGGGTGTCCCATACATACAATCCACCCGCCGCTCCCGCTCCCTTTGCTTTTTGGAAGAACTTCGCCTGAAGAAAGGAAATATTATACTAATTGTTTCAATTAGCTAAAGCAGCCGCCCTGCCCCTTGTCTCCTTCTGCCTCCAGCACGAGGGGGTCGTGGTGGTATTTATTGATGTTACTGGTGGATGTTGCTGGCTCTGGGGGGCCATGGATGTGCTGTTTAATGCCTGCATCCCTCTCAGCATCCCTCTCAGCATCCCCTGCCTGGGTACCGGGGCAGGATGCCGGGCAGGGCAGGCTCTGGCTGGGAGGAGGGAGGGAGCTGCTGCTGTCGGGGTGAATTACGGTGGTGGCTGCGCTGGTTTCACTCCACAGCACTCGACAGAGCACCTGGAAATGCATTTGTGACGGGAGCAGGGAAGATACCAAGTGAGGTGAGTAATGAAATGCTGGAATAATTAACTGCGGAGGTAAATCAGCCGGCAACGAGGAGCGGGTGCTGCGGGGCTGGGGATGGGCTCCGGGTGCCAGATGTCAGGGCTCTGCCTCTTGCTCCATGGGCTTTTTCCTCGCCCCCATCCTGGTCACCATCCATGAGACCAGACTCTCACAATCTGCTGTGTCCCATCTCTGCTGACCTGTGGTTTCACAACACGTGTAGGTTTGGGGTCAAGCAATTTGGTCCTGAAGCTATTGATGGATTTGCCCCAAACCAGCTTGTCCAGGGAGAGCTGTGGCTTTTTCCCCAGAGTGAGGAAAAATGATGTGTGAGGAAGGGAAACCCCTGCTGAGGCTCCGAGCTCAGCCCTCCCCGTTGCATTATCACAGCTGGATGTCCTACAGAAACCTGCTCACCCACCCCCTTTGGCTTCTCTCCTAAAGGTTGGGAACAATCGGCTCTTCTGGTGACAGCGATAAAATAGTAATAATGCCACTAAAATTAAAGGGTTTTCTGACATGGGGAATAATCCTCGGTCTGATGGGGCTGTGACAATAGAGCTGGAGATCACGTAGTAGCTGTGGGAGGGGTTTTTTTTCAGCTTTTCTTACCCTCCCGTGTTCCCTTGCAGGGCAGTGAGGTGACCTCAGCTGTCAAAGGGCCATAAAAAGCAGGTAAATGCTGCTCCAGCGTGGGATGCAGAGCTCAGCCCAGCATTTTGGACTCTTTTGAGGGTGGTGGGAGCTACGGGATCAGCTCCCCCAGACATCGAGTCTCCTGTTTAAAACTTGAGTAGGGAAACAGAGCAGGGTTTTAAGATGCTCGTGAGCTTTCTAAAGCTCTGTAGCTGCCCAGAGTTTCACACCTGGACTTTCAGGTGCTCTTGGCCGGGGGATTTGAAAGACTTAGATGACAGTGGTGTGGAAAAACTGA